ACATTATTTGAATATTTACAAAAATATAAATGTTATGTAAGAGAAAAAATTATATAAAATTTATAATAAAGATAAAATATGAGACACATAAAGAAATATAAACAAAAATTTACAAATATTTAATCACACTAGATTAATTAATAAAAAAAGAATGAAAATGAATAAAATATATACTTGTCGAAAAAATCGAGGATTAATTTATAATTATTTTATATATAATTTATAATCATTTTCTATGTAAAATAGTTTTTTAAAATGTCATCTTATCAAGAAACACCAGGGTAGGATTTTGCATCAAGTTTATGCGCAACGAAGTTGCACAGACTTGCATGGGATTGTGGTTCCATTTGCGCGAGTCTCGACAACAAACGTAACTCACATTTTCATATCTCAGCAACAACTAAACTGATTGCGTTTAAATTATATTTAAACTACATTTAAACTATATTTAATTGAAAGCTGAGGTTTGAATTGCATAAAAAAGTGTTTTTTTTTACATTATTATTAAAACACATGATTTATTCCAGTTTTATTAATATAAAAAATATATTTTAGAAATTAAAACATTACTATTTTCAGAATCTTGTAAGGACACATTTTGAATTTGATATGCAAAAAAGATAAATTTAATAAATAATACATTAAAAACGCGGTGATTTAGTATCAACGAACTAGTAAGGTTTGGAAAAATTGATACATCTAAACTATTTAACGTCCTAACTAATATACAAGAATGCGGAATAAATAAATCAAATCTTGTTGAATATTTGCTGTATATTTAATCTGTATTAAATATACAGCTAAGTTGATATCAACTTCTTCCTTTTCGTATTTCTTGTTTTCTTCGTCATTAGATACGCTATGAATGGAGTATCAGTGTGCTTTCAGCATTGCAGTCATCTTTCCAGTAGTAAACTTACACTCTTTGCACATGATTAATGCTTATTTTATCAAAATGTTTTCATACCCACTTTGATTGTGCCATTACGTTTGCACAATATTACAAAGCGCATGTTACTAAACATGTTGAATCTATTATACAGAGGAAATATTCAAAACTGTTTAGAAAAGGTCAACAGAGACACAAATTCTTTCTTAAATATAGTTATATTATCTGTATCTTCTCTAGTAGTAAAGTCGTGTCATTTTGCATTTTGCAAATTAGGTCTGTCTAAATTTGGCAAAAAAAAAGTAGATAAACTCTATTGTCTGTTCTTGTTTGTTCTTCTCTTTGTCTCCCTTAATGAAACGAATTAGAAATGTTTAACTCGCAAGCAGTGTTAGATAGGTTTGATCTAAATATTATAGTACTTAAGATATTAGATATAAAGAGATATATATATATATATACTGTTATTTGATATATTATCATTTTCAATATTTAACTTGCAATTGTATCATTATTATTATTTGCTATTATTTGCTACTTCACAATCTGTAATTAAAATTCGATAATTAGTATCATGTATAAAAAAATGTTTGTTTATATATATTATTTGATTATTAGTTTAAACTTTATTCTTCTTTATTATTTAAATGTTTGAATAATCGAATGTTTACTGAAGTATTATTTGCGTTTGAAATGTTTGCATTCAAAAATGAAAATTTTAATCAAACATTGAACATTTAAATACTAAAAAATACAATGAATTTAAATCAAATTATAGTAAATATTCAATTAAATAAGATTATTTCATTTTAATATTTACATATATTATATTTAACTAATATTTGTAATATTTTATTAAATTATGTATGTCAAACATGTGCCTTTAATCATTTTTAATAATGATAAACATTATATTATATATTCAATTCTTTTATACATGTTGTAAAAAGATTAGATGAATTAACAAAATTTAACAATCTTTTCAGTTATGAATCGCGATGATCTTTGTATGCAAAGAAAAATGATGAACACAGATATTACAGAAGACGAATAAAAACCTTATGATTGTTGTTAAATTAGGACTATTAGATTAAATTGTGGAGTTCACCGATTTTAGTTTTACCTAATATGGAAGTGCAGTCGAGAATAGATAACCCGTATATTTGCACATAATCTCTAAGTTACAAATTCTATTAAGCGGAAAAGGATAGAGGTGCGACTGAAAGATTAAAATTACTGAGTATTTCATTAAAAGGAAGGATTGCGTTCTCGCAATTCTTTTTTTCTGTTAAATAATGTGGCACTTTGCCTTGAAAAAACTTCTGGCTCGATCGTTATTTTTAATTGGATTGATAAATTCTCTTGATAAATTTTCATGGGTTTCCAAAATACATAGTTATACATATATGTATATTGCTTGTTTTTATAAATCATTTTTATAAACAATTTAAAGAAATTTTTAATCAGTTTGATCAACGATCAAGTTGTCAGTTCTTTTAAATATTTAACGAAGTAGCAACATTTTTTTTGTCAACATAAAATTTCTCTTTGTTAAAATCAAATCTTTCTTTGTTAAAGTACAATCTTACTTTAATTGCGATATACGTAGCATAGCTACGTCACTGAACATAGCAAGTACATCTGCACGCAGTTTTTGCGCCTCAGTCTCGGCTTTAATTCGCGCGTTCCCCTTTTTGTCACACTCGGTGGAGAAGCGACCCTTAATTACGGCTGACCGAGCGGCGATTAAACTCCGCTAATTGTCGACGCCGATGACGCCGGACTCCGATAAACGCTGCGCCATTTTGCAAGCCTGCATTGAACGAGATGCGATCCTATCGTCGTTTTATTTAATCGCTAAGCAAAATGCATTTCCTTGATCAAATATTATAAATATTTCCAAAAGATACATAGGTCTAAATATGATTTAAACTTATATCCTGAAGACATCTGTCTCAAAGTTGCTACAAGATACATTTCTCAGGTTTATTGCGTTTCTTGCGAGAAATTCTGTACGATTCAAAGGGTATGAGGGTGCGCTGATACGAGCTATGAAAGAAAAAGACGGACCAAAAGGTACCGAGGGAGGAACGAAATCGCGATGGAGGGCGGACGTCATGGACGGGAGATAACGTTATCAGAATTGCCTTCGGGAACTCTACTAATTTTAACTAACAGTGGAAATATCGCAAAACTTTTGAGCCTTCTCGCCAAACAATTTATCTTTCTATCTCTACGAGAGATAGATAGAGAGAATCAGGGGGAGGAAACGCGTGGAGAGAATGAGAAAGTTGGAAGAAGAGGGGGGAGAGAGAGAGA